CCAGAGGAGTGCCGGTAGAAAGTTCTATGAGACTCTCAGTGATATGGGAACCACACCAGGTTTCAGGTCACTAAACACCCTCTGCTAAGTTTTTAGTCAATAGAGGCTTACTGCACAATGTCTTCTACACTAATGTGGCACCAAGAAATGGGAATTTTGACCATGTTGACTGCCCGTGTGTGATCTCACTCAGCAATTCCTGTAATGGAGTAGCCATTCAGTAAGTGTGAGTGGACTTAAATCTAAATGGATGGCATCTGGCCACCTGTTTTCTTAATAATGTGAGGAATTCATGTTAACACGAGTGAGTGTGTGTGGAGGGAGGGGAACTAGTAGGGATGAAGACAGACCAGTGAATTGCTTCAGTATTTAAGTTTTACAGACTTGGGGAGATGGGACTTCCATGATCTCCACAAGCTACTGGTGAGTCTTGTACTCCGCACTCTGCAGTATGGTGGGTGGTGTTTAGGTGACCAACCGTCCAGGTTTTCCCAGAACTGTCCAAGTTGTAACGTCCTGGAAACCCCTCAGCCTCGGGCAAACTGGAATGGTTGGTTACCCTACAAAATAGTATTTAGATGCTCCCAGTCGTATTGTCCGGGGTGCTTCCTCTCGTCTTCCATGGCCAGAGGTGCCCCTCCCCCTTCTTACTAACACAGGACTCCCTGCTCCACTCTCTGCACAGCCTCTGCCACTCCACCCCAGCTCTGTGTCTAGAGCCCCCATTGCAGCAATGGGCTCTGCCCCACTTCTCTGGTGCAAATCCCATCTGCCCTCAGACTTGCTACTCCAGGAACCAGAGAATTGTACGTCAGGAAGGTGAAGAGTTTTGGGAGGGGGCATGGGGAGAGTGGGAGGAAAAGGAAATGGGAGGACTGGAAGGAAAGCAGACGAACTCCATTGTTTTAGCCAGCTAGCTTTGGACTAGGATGGGAAAACAGGCTCCTTTCAAACTGGTTCAGACAGGCAGAGGGTGTTAGGTTTCCACACTGAGCTCATCTTCAAAGGGAAATCAGAGCTTTTTTTTTTTTCTTCCAGTTCTAAGGGGCTGTGGTTTATCCCCGAGTCTTGTTACCCTAAAGTTAACTCAAAAATCCTTCAAGCTTCTTCCTCTCTCCATTAATGACCTTGGTTTACAGAATTGGGTTCCTTTGACAGCTGTTCTATGCCCAGGGGCAGTCAAAGGCCAAAGGGCTAGAGAAAAATGTTCTTCCTCATGCATCCTCAAACCAAGCAGATGTGACCGTGGTTATGTCCACTTGGGATTATTCATGGCATTGCATTCTATTTACCTCCCCTGTGACGTGCTTTGCAGAATGGGGATTCTTACCCTCCAGGAATATTCTAAACCAAGATAGTGGGAGATTGTGGCACAATGGACTCAGCTCCCTTGGGGCTCCCTGGGGTACCTGTATCCCCCACAGTTCATGAGCCACACAGGCCCTATTTTTTAACCTGAAGCACTGGCTCTGTGAAGTTTCTTCCCCTTAGGACTTTTGCATGATTCCACACCATCTGCAGGGAGGGGGGAACTGTGTAGGTCTGCTCCTCCATCCTGTCTTTCTCTCCACCTCTACTCGCCAAGTCAGACCCTCCCCTACAGTCCGTCTGAGCTTCTCACTGTCCCAGGGAGGCACTGTGCGCCTGCCTGATCTGGCCTACCTTCCAGTTCCCAAACCCCACCCCAGAGAGCAAAACCTCTGTTTTATTCTTTTTTTTTAAATTTAATTTTATTTATTTTTATTCAAGTCAGGAGAAAACTTAGGGTAGACAAAAAGTAGATTTTCTTGTGCTTTTTTCTTCTTCTTTTTCTTTTTTTAATCAGAATATCAATAACAGCTTGTTTGCATTTCTCATTTAAGCACAAAATCCAATACAGGCATGTAGGATTAAAACTATAGCAAGAACAATAGCAAAACAACTGTTGTGAGTTTATATTTTGTCTCTTCCAGTGAGGAAAGAGAGCGTCTTAGACATTTCCACAGAGCTGTATGCACAGTAGGTGCTCAATTTAATACTTACTGAATGAAACAACCTCTTGAGGCCTTGGGACACTCATTAGTCCAATGGACTCAAGACCAGGGTGTGGAGTGTGATGACTAGTTAAAGGTAGCCAACACGGTGAAGGTGGGACCTGTCGGAGATCCTCCTGTGAAGGCCGAAGACAATTCTCCTGCAATTAAATTCCCCAGGAATCAGTTGGGAGGAGCACCTTTGTGTGGTCATGATCACAACACTGTTGTCAGGAAATTCCCCTCTGCCTCCACCTCTTTCTTCTCTGTCACAAGCACCACCACCATCATCACCATCACCATCATTAGGCTCTTACAGACCAGCCTCCAGCACAGAGAGGAAATTCCCCTCTGCCTCCACCTCTTTCTTCTCTGTCACAAGCACCACCACCACCACCACCATCATCACCATCACCATCATTAGGCTCTTACAGACCAGCCTCCAGCACAGAGCCTAGCACAGAGCAGGCGCTCAGTAAATTCTTTCGGAATGAACAAAAAGGGTACTGGGACCCCTAGCCCTAGTCCTGACCCTCCCCAGCCCATCTCTTCTGAGCACGGATGGGCTCAGTTCATTCTGCAGCATTTTCATGGGTACCTGAAAATCTGCTTTTTGTTTACCCTAAGTCTCGAAGATCCAGCCTTGTGCCTTTCCTGCTTTACAAATGCTCTTTTGTTGAGGTCCCCGGTAACAGGTCCAGCCCTCCTGTCAGACTGGGGCTCACACTCAGCCAGGCAGGAGGTGCAAGCTTGGCCCAGGAGACTCGGATAACCAGAACCACGTTTATTTCCCCTTTGGAGTCCCACAGTGAAGGGCTACTGGGGATTCTAGAATAAAATAGCCCCTCATGAAAGCAAGTCCTTTCCTGTCCTCTGCCCATCCCTATTTTGGGGGACTTTCTCTCTGAATGCTGAGTGATGGCCACCTGGAGCAACCACCTAACGCAAGCTCCCAGTCAGTGGCCTCCTCCCCTTCTCCTCATCTCATACGTGTCTCAAAACCATAAAGACACGAGCACGAGGAGCAGTCTTTGAACACGGCAGACAGTCTCTGCATCTTTGCCCCTAACTTTCGTCTCTGTCACATAGCAGGAAGTAGGGAACGTGGACTCTAGATAACCAGAACCACGTTTATTTCCCCTTTGGAGTCCCACAGTGAAGGGCTACTGGGGATTCTAGAATAAAATAGCCCCTCATGAAAGCAATTCCTTTCCTGTCCTCTGCCCATCCCTATTTTGGGGGACTTTCTCTCTGAATGCTGAGTGATGGCCACCTGGAGCAACCACCTAACGCAAGCTCCCAGTCAGTGGCCTCTTCCCCTTCTCCTCATCTCATACGTGTCTCAAAACCATAAAGACACGAGCACGAGGAGCAGTCTTTGAACACGGCAGACAGTCCCTGCATCTTTGCCCCTAACTTTCGTCTCTGTCACATAGCAGGAAGTAGGGAACGTGGACTCTGAAACTACATGCACTTGAATTCCAGTCCCGGCTCTGACTTACTAGTTGAGTGACCTCGGGCAGGGCAGGTTCTTTCACGTTTCTAAACCTCCGTTTCTTCAAGCATAAATGAAGTTAGCGATGTGAGGTTTAAGTTAGATCTCCTGAGTGGCGCTGGGCACACTGCCTGGCCCAGGCCAAGGGAACAGTGAGCCCTAACTCATTCTGTTATGACAGTCTGCTGGAGATATAAGCCCAGCCTCTGGAGGTTTCTAAAACCCAAACAAAATTAGCCATGCCTCCTCAGCGCACCTCTGGTCCATTGTTCATAAACCTGGAGATTTGGCCCTGGATTAAGCTCTTTGTGTAGGTTCCTGTCGTTGGTCTGTAGGCTCCTTAGGGGCTGGGGCCATATACGGGTCATCCCCGGGTAAAGGGACTTATACCATTTGTTGACATTCACATACCAGCACAGAAGGGAGGCAAACCCAGGGTCTGCTGCACAGGTAGCATGCCAGTTAACTTTCTGTGTGCTGCTGCCCTTGCAATCTGGCTTAGAAACCACAAGCAGCCATGTCTATTATACCCTCCCATGCCCTACTACCAGGCCCTGCCAGGAAGGCTGGGAGACAGGGGTCCCTGGAGAAGGAGCTTCTACCACTGCCTCTGGGGCTGCGAGGAAAACCCTCTCTCTGTGAGGGGGACTGTCCTCTGCAGCAGTGGTCCAGGCCCAGCTCCCTTGCTCCTCCCCGGCCCTCCCCAGCAGCGGAATAAGTTGTCTATTTCCTCTGACTGGTCTGAATGGGGTGGGTAGGCCTCCCAATTTGGTTATAGGAAGTGGTCAGAGTCCTGCATTAGAGCAGCTACCAGACCTAGTTTTGAAATAATTTTTAACACTCCACTCTACAAGGATTACCTGAGCTATAAAGGACTGATCCTTCCATTTCCAAAATTCAGTGGCTCACTGAAGTGATCTGGGTTTCTGAAAGATAGGTGGATAAATCTCTAGCTCTTTAAAGACCATGAAGGGCTAATAGAATCAGCAGTATTCAGAGGGAAGGGCTCATGGCACGGAAGAAGCACTTAGCTAAGACATAAGGAAGAACAGCTCCTGGGACCAGAGTCAGGAATAGAAGGTGGCTGTGAAATCTCGGGTAGCACCTTGGGAAAGAAGTGATGGGTTTCTGAAAGATAGCTGGATGAATCTCTAGCTCTTTAAAGACCACGAAGGGCTAATAGAATCAGCAGTATTCAGAGGGAAGGGCTCATGGCACGGAAGAAGCACTTAGCTGAGACATAAGGAAGAACAGCTCCTGGGACCAGAGTCAGGAATAGAAGGTGGCTGTGAAATCTCCTTCAGTGAGTGCTCAGTGATTGGTTGTTCAGAAGGCTATGGAATGAGCATTCGCATGGGATGCCAAGGGTAGAGGGTCAGGATTTGAGCAAAATGACTCTACAAAACTCTGTTTAACCTTGGGAGTCAATGGTGGATGTCCTGGAGCATGGTAGCATCCATGGGGGTCAAGGTGTCTGTTGATGTGGGTTCCAGGTACGGTTCCTGGAGCAGCAGAACCAGGTGCTGGAGACCAAGTGGGAGCTGCTGCAGGAGCTGGACCTGAACAACTGCAAGAAGAACCTGGAGCCCATCTTTGAGGGCTATACCAGCAACCTGCGGAAGCAGCTGGAGACGCTGTCTGGGGACAGGGTGAGGCTGGACTCAGAGTTGAGGAGCATGCGGGACCTGGTGGAGGACTACAAGAAGAGGTGAGCAGGCCCCACCACAGGTCCACAGGTCACATTCCCAGTGGTGATGGGCTCACCTGATCTCCATGCCATTTTCTTTTTAGGAGGGGAGGAACTCATATCTCCTTCTCTGGTCATGGGGAAAGGGCCTCTTTGATGAGAACTTCCTCCCTGGTTGATAGAAGGGAGTTCCTATACTCACTGACCCATGGGACGGTTCAGTTGCTGGCTTGGGGAGCCCAATAGGCCCCTGGGTATTTTCCTCAGATGTGTGTGAGGTAACCCGGGGGCATCCTACTCCCACCACTAGCCTCTTGGCTCTCCCCCCGGGACCTCCTGCTGGGGACTCTGCTTGCCCAGCCAGTGGGAAGAGTTTACTTGGCCAAGGGGACTGAGGCCTCTGCCATCTTCTCTTCCTGCCCACAGATATGAGGTAGAGATTAACCAGCGCACAGCCGCCGAGAATGAGTTTGTGGTGCTCAAGAAGGTAAGGGAGAGAAGAGCCTAGGGACGTTTGTCTCTGTCACACCCCATCCTCAGCAACTCAGGACTCAGGACTTCAGCCTGGGCCACCTGTGGAGGGGACTGGTGCCTGAATGAAAGTGGAATCATAGTCCCGGCCTCCCGTGCGTTGGAGAGGAAGGACAGACACTCAGGGCATGGAGAGACAAACAGGAGAGAATTCTGGTCCGGGAACTAGGCAATTGCTCGGTCTACCTGTGTGACTTGATGAATCTCAGTGCCTCTCTGGGCTTTGCTTTCTCCAGGTGTAGCAGAGGAAGAGCAGACCCCTGTTCTCCTTGCCCTGTTCTCAAAGACTCAGTGCGTCCACAGAAAAGTGATATTGAGTGACTTTATTCATTGATATGCTTCCTTCTGTAGGCAAAACAATAGGGAATCAGATGGCTTTGGGGTAAGGGGCAGGGTGGCTGGTGGAATAAGGTTGTGCTGACCAGTGGCTTTGGGTGCCTCTTGGCAGGATACAGATGTAGCCTACACAGTCAAGGTGGAGCTTCAGGCCAAAGTGGACTCTCTGGACAAAGACATCAAGTTCCTCAAGTGTCTGTACGATGCGGTAAGGACTCTCCTATTCCCCCAACCCTCATCCCACCTCTTTCCAGCTTTGGGCTCCACATGACTCTTCCAGGGAGATGTCAATAGGAGGCATTTAGAATAAACATAATGAATGATGTTTGGATGGAAAAATGCAAAACCTTGCTCTAGGAGACCATGGAAGTGCGGGATATTTGTCCTTGAAGACTGTACACACAGGAGAGAGCTGATCTTGGTCACGATAGTGGCCTTGATTACAGATGGGAAAAAATGGTCCCATGAGGTCCTACTAAAGCACAGATTCTTGGATTCTGTGACACTGCAGGAAGTGCATCCTTTCACCTGGCGTGCATGTCTCTGCTGCCTGCTGCAGATGTGTGGAGCTTCCTGTTGCTGTGAGCTGCTCTCCCTCAACTCTGCAGACACTTCTCCAGAGGGCATGTCTTCCCTCCACTTTTGCCCTGTGGATTCTAGTGACCCATTCTGCCAAGGACCACAGGCCCAGAGGACTGTGGGGCAGAGGAGGGATGACAGGGGGACCCTGACTCTATCCTCATCTTTCAACTCAGGAGATTGCCCAGATCCAGACTCACGCCAGTGAGACTTCTGTCATCCTGTCCATGGACAACAACCGGGACCTGGACCTTGACAGCATCATTGCTGAGGTCCGTGCCCATTATGAGGAAGTCACCCTGAAAAGCAAGGCTGAGGCCGAGGCCCTGTACCAGAGCAAGGTGGGCACTGGGTGGGTCCCCATCCTATACTGGCCCCACCTCCACCAGTGAATGGGAGGGACACATTTGTAGGCGTGCTCAATGAAGGAATGCTGATACCCAACAGTTAAATTACATTCTACCCAAAAGGAATCCTCAGCAGAGACTGTTATCAAAGATAAATCATAAAACTAATATGGATGGACATATTCAACAGAGAGGGACAGACAGTCCTCTGGTGGAGGAAAGAAGCAGACGTTCCCATGAAAAACAAATGCATTTACAGGAATTGGGGCATGCTGCCACAGGGGGAAAGAGAGTCACAAATATGGAGAAGAGTAGCTATGGGGTAGGGTGGGTGGGGAGTGAGAGAAAGGCATGCCTGGGCTCTTTTCTGATCAGCATGGGAAGACTTCCAAAAGGAAGTGGAATTCCAGGAGTATTATGAGTAATGGAGTTCTGCTTTGGAGTAAAACCCTTTGGGGCTGTCAGAGAGAAAGCCCTTCACCTGGGCACTCTCCCGGCCCCCAGCCCCAGTGCTCCTTTCCACAGCAAGGATGGCAGGCATGGCTCATCCTCACTCTGTCTCCACCTGTCCCTTCTTCCCTATCCATGGCCATTTTCTCTTCCCTAGAGGACTGGGCACAGGGAGGGGGAAAGATCTGAGCCACAGGTCTTGAGCTGGCACCCACCAATCCTGCCTATAACCCACCACTCCCAAGGATACAAGGGACCTTCAGGGTCCCTCCCCTCTGACCCAGTTACTAAGAAAGTGCTACAGGAGACTGTAAGTCTCATGACAGCAGGGACCTCTCCTACCGTGCTTCTGCTGTATCCCCAGCAGCTGTGGCAGAACTGGGCCTCTAACTATGCCACTATAAATATGTGTTAAATGAATGAAGGAGAAGGTCAGAGCTCTTCTTCCATTTAGGAAGTGCTTCTTACATCTAGGAAGGAATGTGAACTGCATCTTTCCTTTATTCAGCCCAGAAAAGCAGGCAGGCCATGTGATGAGAAAGGAGCATAGGCTCTGCAGATAGGTTCTGCTTAGAGAAGGGGGTGGACTTCTTGGTCAGAACCACCACCAAAGAGCTGGAAGGATGCCCAGGTCCTGGCTCTGTCACCTCTGCTCGAGTTGCCCCTGGTTGGCTGCCGTGATTGCACAGGACCCTTCCCCTACCTTGTCTCATCACCAACTTCCTATCTCTGGGAAACCAGATCCAGGAGCTGCAGCTGGCAGCCGGCCAGCACGGTGATGACCTCAAACACACCAAAAACGAGATTTCAGAGCTGAACCGGCTCATCCAGAGGATCCGGTGTGAGGTTGCCAACGTGAGGAAGCAGGTGGGCAGCAACCTTGCGAATGCCGAGGCTCAGTTTCATCCTTGGTGACGGAGAAAGTGGGGCCCACCCTTTAGGGAAAAGCAAAGCTCCCCTGCCTGGGCTCAGGATGTTGGCCATCCACAGTCCCTCTTTCCCACCCTGCTTCAGTACCCCTGCCATCAGAGTGGCACCCTGCTCAGAACTGGGAGGAGCCTCGAACCTATTTCTCTGACTCCCCCACTTTACAGACAAGGCAACTGGGCTGGAGAGGGGAAGTGACTTGTCCAGGGTACCCAGATGGTGATTACCGATGCCAGTGTTAGAGTCAAGGTTTCTTCTTTCCCAGACTTTTTCTATGTCCAACAAAACTGCCCCATTTCCCCTTCAGGTGTGCCCCAGTGAGGGCAGGCCCCGTGCCTCCACCTCCCACTGGACATGGAACACTTGCGGGGTGTGTGTGTCAGGGACCTCTGTGGCCACCTTAGGTTTCTGCCCTCAAAGGGGTCATGGTCCTGCTCTCCCCTGCCCTGTGCCATGGTACCATTTCCATTTCACCTGAGGGATTTGGTTTCAGCTGCAGGAAATCTTAAACACTGTGTCAGTGGGGAGATGATTTTAGACGTAGGGGGATTCCTCCCGTGACTTCCCAAAGAACCGGGTCAACTCTGCTAGTGATAGAATCACCAAACTGCAAAATCAGAGCCTGTCCTCCTCTCTGCACTCCCACAACCCTGCATGCAACATGGAGAAGAGGGACAGCTTTGAGTCTGCATTAGGCTGACTCACAGCCTTTATGAGGACCGTTCCTCCCTCTCTCAGTACTTAGCATCCCAATACCCCCTGATGTTCATTAGAGTCCAGTTGCTGAGGTTGTGGCTATAATTTAGTCTTAATCTGCTATTCTAAGGGAAAGTCCCTCACCCGTTCAGGCCAGCTGTGGGAGCACTTAGACAGACCTACCCTGTAGGGTGCTGGGAGAGTCCAGGAACACTCATTCTTGGTGCTAGCAGGTAGGAAGGATCCCTGTGGGGCCCTTGGCAAGCTCTCTGATCCTTAAGAGCATCCTGGCTGGAGTCTCAGGTGTGATATTCCTGGACCCAGTGTAGTTTGAACCTTTAGCCATTGGTGGCCCCCAGCCCCAGGCACTAGACAACTTTGCAAACACTGACATTTCTTCCTGCACTTCTGAAATGTGACTGCTCCGTAGCTTCCTGTGACAACTCCTTTAAATATCCACCCGCAACAGGAAATAGGAGAGACCCAGGTTCTGGTGTTGGCTCTGCGGCTCTTGGGCCTCATCTGTAAAATGAGGGAGTCCTGCTATTTAACTTGGATGATCTAAAATGTATTTTAAAATTTATTTTATGTCCTGACTATCTCCCTGTTCCTTGCCCCTCAGTGTGCCAACCTGGAGACGGCCATCGCTGACGCCGAGCAGCGGGGGGACAATGCCCTGAAGGACGCCCGGGCCAAACTGGACGAGCTGGAGGGCGCCCTGCACCAGGCCAAGGAGGAGCTGGCCCGGATGCTGCGCGACTACCAGGAGCTCCTGAGCCTGAAGCTGGCCCTGGACATGGAGATCGCCACCTACCGCAAGCTGCTGGAGGGAGAGGAGTGCAGGTGAGTGGGGGCGGGCAGGGAAACATCATGGTGCCAAGAAGGAGGGACTGTGTCTCCGCCAGGCTGAAGGGCCATGTGGGAGCTGGAAGGTAAGGAACAACAGAGCTGGCGACAGCACGAGCAAGGGAGGTGGGGGTTTGGTGAGCTCGGCGGCAACTTCCTGCAAGGGGGTGTCAGATGTGCTCCAGGAAGCCCGAGTGACTGTATGGTGCTGTGAAAAGAGCCAGTGGGTCAGAGAAACCCGGGTTCAGCCACTGGCTTTGCCATGTACTTGCCGTATGGTCCTGGTTAATCATTTAGTGTCCTCATTTTCTCATCTGTAACATGGGCATTGATAGAAGGATGAATTAAAATGATATACATACCGAACGAAGCAAGAGCCCAGTACGTCCTAGCGTCATCCAGACATTTCCCTGGGGCTTTACCCTTCTCTAACTTTCTGCGTTGCAGGATGTCTGGTGAGAACCCCTCCTCTGTGAGCATATGTGAGTACCCTGGAGAGCTGGGATGGGCAGGGAAAACCGGGGGCCCTGGGACAGTGATACCACCTCCACTGCTTGTTTCACCTCTTCCAGAAGTTTCTGCTCCTGTCTTGTGAAGCTTCTCTGGCTTCAAAGAAAACCTATTCCCCTTTTGTCCAATGGACACAGTGACTGAAATCATGCCCATCTTTTTCCTTTCTGTCTCTCCCCCGGGGCACGTCATCTAGAAGATGGGTTTGGAATGTGGACTTCCTAGAATCTCCAGGAGGGCAGGGACCATGTGTACCCTACGTGGTCCCCACCTCACACAATGTCTGGCACATAACAGGGTCTCAATTCATCTTTGTTGTGGTTCTTGACTGCTGAGGGCGGTTGTGGGGATTAGAGAGGGTGTCGCAGGTAGAGGAAGTTCTCAGGGACAGCAGCCACTTGCTGGCTGACACCTGCTCCCTTCCCCTGCTCTTGCCCTTCCTCCTCAGCCGTCATCAGCAGCAGCAGCAGCTACGGCTACCACCCCAGCTCTGTGAGTGCTGACCTCGGGGCTGGCGGTGTGGCAGGCAGCTCTGGCAGCTCCCGAAGTGGGCAGACCAGGACCAAAGGGGCACGCGTGGGAGACCTCAAGGACTCCCAGGGCAAGGGTGCCCCAGTCAGCACCTCAGCCAGGAAAGCCACACGATAAGCCCACAGCCCAACTCACCTCAGCATCCGAAGAAGAAGTGCCTTCACTGCCACCCAAAGATATCTGCCACCACCAAATCCTCGATCGCTGAGTTTTAGGACTGTCTGTGGGACACTTGACTGTCCACATCATGGCTTATCTTACTTTCAAGTTCTGGTTGATGCCGTCACCTCCCTGGCTCCAGTGGGTGCCATGTGGACCTCACGACTTCTCGTTTTCCTTGCTGCCTTCAGCTGGCAGGAGGCTTTGGAGGCACGAGCCATAATCACCTTCCTGGCCCTAAGGAAGCTGTGATCATCCTAGAGAGAGAAGAAGGGAGGTGAGGGGAGGGGGATAGTTTTGTTTTGCACTTAGGCCAAGTCAGTAGTTGTCTGAGAGGTTGCCAGGGTGGCAGGGTAAACGGGGAGACCCACGGCCGGGAGGTGAGAAGTTAGCCAGCCTTTACCTGCCCCACCAGAAAAGTCTTTGCAGGATGACTCCATTATAAAGGAGAGAGCACGTACATTCTCATGCCACCAGCTGCACCCATATTCACAAAGCCATGTGAAGGAGAATTGGGCATTTTCTGCCACCTGGAGTCACTCGCCCACCCCCTTTATTATCAGTTATAGCTACTACCATTTGTCAGGTTCCTTCTACGTGCCAGCAACCCAACACACATCACCTCTAATCCTCACTCAGTCCCGTAAGGAAGACACACTCAGCATCCTTGGGCAGACAATGAGCCTGACCCTCTGAAAAGCTGCACCACCTACATGCCAACATCAGGCCTGGCTGACTCAGGGTCCTGTCCTTTCTGTGGCATGTCACTGCCTCTGTAACAAAGAGAATGTCAAATTCATGGTTCTTTTTGATGGTGCCTTTTGTCAGGACTGTGGGTATGTGATTTGTCTTCAGTCCTGTCTCTGGGGCTGTGTCCTCTGATTGCTTCTGATTCTCAATTCCTGTTTTCACGAGCTGAGTTCAGTGAATGGAGCTTGATCTGCTGTGTCTGAGCGGTACCACTCAGCCCAGAACTCGTGGCTCATGGTGCAAATATTCCTAAGAATGGCAGCACCTAGTCCCTCCTTTGCTTCAGTTAAGGACTCTGAATTTCTGCTGTACATTCAATAAACTGCCCTTGAGTGATGTCAGAGTGCACTCCTGTCAGTCTGTCAACCTCTCCAAATGGCCCACCCCACTAACAACAGTGTGCTCCACCCACATGTGTGTACAGCCTTCCTAGGAAGCTGGGGCCAACCCAGAGGAGGCTGCTCAGGAGGTGATCTCAGGATGCTGGGAAAGACACACTTGCAAAGCCACACACTAGTACAAAATCCAGGAAGGGCAGCCTAGTGTGGCAATGCTGAGAAGTGACCAAAATGGAGAGTTAAGTAGGGAAGGCTTCCTGGAAAGAAAAGAGAGATTAATCAAATAATCAGATAGATAGGTGCACAGAGTCCTGGTGGGAGAATCTCAATCATGCCATCATAGTAGGTTTGGATGCAGGTTTTGTGTGCTTATTGGTGGGGCGTTGGAGGTCTCAGATTTTCTGCAGTCATTAGTTGGGCTGGATGGGTTTACAAGTCCCTTAGTTTTGGCTGACAGAATTTAGCCCTCCAGTCAGCTTTCTGATTGGTCTTGTGTTACCCATGTGCCTGGAGATGTTTGCCCCTACAGGCCTCAGCACAACAGGGCCTTTGGAGAATGGGATCTCTGGCCCCAAGCAGCAGCCTTCTATTTCCCTCACTGTGCCTTTCCTGTACTTAGGAGGTCCTCTTTTGTGTGTGCCAGGATGCAATAAGCCTTGAGAAGCACAAGAGGCCAGGAGTCTGGTGGGCTTTCTGCCCAAATGCCTCCCTCTGATGTCACTGCCATCACCACTGTGGGTATTGGACTAGTGCTCTGGGAGTTATTGGGCTTCCATGCCACCTCTGCCACTAACCAGTCACTTGTCACACACAGTGGGTTCTTAATCTTGTGGGTCATGATCCCTTTGAGATCTGATAAAAGCTACAGACCTCCAAAGTCTATAATGGACCCCCTGAGTCATGCACCGCAGGTTAAGAATCCCTGGATCAGATACCCCTCAGGCCCTACCCAGCACTGATGATCTGCGCTACCCAATAGACAAATCCCTAGTGAGTGACCCAGTGGGAAGGGCTGAGACGAGGGGGTGAATGGGACCCACAACCTGAAATAGCCTTTGGAAGAACATGAGAGCCATCGTGAGGTCATCTCCTCCAAGGCAGCAGAGCAGGCATACCTCTGACTGCAGGATATGCTGGCTCTGGTGCTGCTGGGCTGTGGAGCCATGTGCCACGCCTGGCCCTGTATGCATGGTGAAGGGCCTGGGGCTAAGCAGATATGACACAGTGTGTCCTCTGATGGTTGTTGAGGATGGTGGAGGGGGCAGCCTCCCTAGCTGCAGCTTCTCTGCCTGAGAAATGGAGAGGTTCTTTGCTACCTGGGCCCAAATAAGACCCTGAGGAGTGCACGGGAATGACCGTGCTCTTGCTTCACATCTCAGTTTGGAGATTCCTTTGAGGCCCAAGATGGGAAATCAAGGAGGCAGGACCAGAGGGGACAGTTCATTTCAGTTGCATACATCTGTGGCTATTTTGACAAGGGTGTCAGGACCATTCAGCAGGGGAAAGAATAATGTCTTCAATAAATGGTGCTGGAACAATTGGATATCCACATGCCAAAGAATGAACTTGGACCCTTATTTCACATTATACACAAGTATAAAAAATAATCAAAATGGATCAACAACCTAAATATAAGAGTTAAAACCATAAAACCCTTAGAAAAAAATGTAGGGATACATCTTCATGACCTTAGACTTAGCAATGGATTCTTAGACATGACACCGAAAGTGTAAGCATCAAAAGAGCAAATAGACAAACTGGACTTCGTTAAAGTTAAAAACTTTTTTACATCAAGGGACATTATCAAGAAAGTGAAAAGACAGGGGCGGGAGCAACACCGAGGCTTGCGATCCCGTGGCCGGTCCTGGTCCGGTATGGGCGCGACACTGAGGGTTGCGATCCGTTGCCGGTCACGAAAAAAGACAAAAAGGAAAAAAAAAAAAAAAAAGAAAGTGAAAAGACAGGGGCGGGAGCAACACGGAGGCTCGCGATCCCGTGGCCGGTCCTGGTCCGGTATGGGCGCGACCCTGAGGGTTGCGATCCGTTGCCGGTCACGAAAAAAGACAAAAAGGAAAAAAAAAAAAAAAAAAAGAAAGTGAAAAGACAACCTAGAGAATGAGAGAAAATATTTGCAAACCATATATGTGATAAAGTTCTAGTATCTAGAATATATAAAGAACTCTCATAACTCAACAGTAAGAAGACAACCCAGTTAAAAAATGGGCAAAGGACTTTAATGGACTTTTCTCTAAGTAAGATACACAAATGGTCAATAAGCACATGAAGAGATGTTCAACACAATTAATATTTAGGGAAATGTGAATCAAAACCATAATGAGGTACCAATTTATACCCAGTCAGATGACTAAAATAAATAAACAATAGAAAATATTAAGTGTTGTTGAGAATGTGGAGACATTGGAACCCTTGTGCATTGCTGATGGGTATATAAAATAGTGCAGCTGCTGTGGAAAACAGTTTGGCAGTTCCTCAAAAAGTTAAACAGAATTGCCACACGACCCAGAAATTCCACTCCTAGATATATAGCCAAAGAATTGAAAACAGGTGCTCAAACAAATACATGCACACACTTGTTCATAGCCACACTATATATAGCCAAAGGTGGAAACAGCCCAGTTATCCATCAGTGACTGAATGGATAAAAAATTGTGATATATACTACAATGGAATATAACTCAGCCATAAAAAGGAGTGGTGTATTGATACATGCTACAATGTGGACAAACCTTGAAAACATTATGATGCTGACCTAAATAAACAGGGAGAGGCTCTCTAAAAGAGTAATGAGTTTGAGAATATGACACTGCAATGGGAATACACATGCTGTAGTAAACTATGTGAGCTCTCAGGGAGGTAAAGGAAGACAAAGTTTTTAAAGGAAAAATGATGGAGGATTACATAATTCTTTTGGGATAATTATCCTTGGCTGCAAGGATCAATAACAAGAGTGATGCCAGTCAAGGTTGGACGACAGAGAGTTGCTGGGCAGATGTCTTTGCAGAAGTATTTTTTATTAAGGTTGTGATGGTCTCTGAGCATGGTTGTGGTTTGGGTTTGCAGTTATCAGTTCTTGTTATCAGTGATAAGTACATGAGAATTACCCCCATTAGTGGCCTTTCCCTGGCTCTATCTGTCAGAATTCCTTTTTTTAAACACAAACGACTCCATTTTGATTCTGAAAACTTTCACAATGCTAAGTGCAAGAAGCCAAACATACAGGTCACATATTATATGCATGATTCCTTTTAAATAAAATGCCCAGATTAGATAAGTCCATACAGATGGAATTCAGATTGGTGGTTGCATGGGTTGGGGAAGGGGAAATGGGGGGTGATGGCTAATAGGTATAGGGTTTCCTTTTGGAGTGATGAAGATTTTGGAGCTAGATAGACATGGTGGTTGTGCAACATTGTAAATATACTAAATGCCACTGAATTGTTCATTTTAAAATGTTGAATTTTATGTTATGTGAAACTTACTTCAATAGTAAAAATAAAACTTGGGGGTGTAGCAGAGAAGAAGCCAGAGAAACTGTGTCCCTGAACTTTGCTCCCAGCTTTCCCCACCATATGGCAAATAGCAACCTGGTGTAAAATTAGGGAGATCCATGTAGGGCCAGTAGGGGGATGGAGGAAACTTACCCTCTGTTTGACTTCTGGGGAGGAGGACCTCTGATGGCCAAGAGCTAACCATCCCTCTGGACACCATAGGCTCTCTCAGCTAATGAAGTGCTTATTTCACTAACTACCTGTGTCTCAGGTCATAGCCCCTGATGAATGCTCATTGAGTTGAAGCAACAGAAGCCAGCAATCTGCAACATTCCCTTCACCTGCCAAGGCCATGGCCTGT